TTGATGCGCCAGATCTCAAAGGTCGCGGCCTGGCTGATGATGCATAGCACGCCCCTTTAAAAAAATTATTGTTTTCAAAAAGTTAATCATTTCATGCAAATCCTGATATGTTGGGAAGGTGAGAACGTAAAGTTTTAGTGGATCCACATAGTCAATGCCGAAAAGAATAAATGGTAGAAATTTATTTATGGAGATACAATGGGCAATAAAATGGCTCCCATTGTTTTCCTAAAATTCATTTTGAGTAAAGCAAAGCTTCTCCCGCCGTACTCGGCATCACCTCCCCCAACACCATGTCGTGACAGGTGGCAAAGCCAGGGTGGTGGATGTCTAGCCAATTGACTACAAAACATTTTGGCAATATCATCATATGTAAAAAATCATGCACAAAAGGAAATACTAACTCATATGAAACTCCGAGCACCGCCACAGGCGTGATGTGAAGTGACGGTGGGCACCGCCCGCTCCTCACCGACACCAAATAGCGACATGGAGAGTCGTCGGGCACCTTCCTGGCAGCCAACTAACCCATATATGCCGCCTTCGATGCAAGATCCGCCACACACAGGACCTACCTCTGCCAGGCTCGCCACGCCATCCCATGCCACATATACCTCAAGGACCGTACTATACGTGGGTAATGCGCTAAGTGCATTTCCGCTACTAGCATTCCTCAACGCCCCTGTTGATCGACACCGGATCACGTAGCCATCACTCAACTCAAGAGCTATGTATTTAGATGAGACATCAATCAGTTCAAGAGCTATCAACCAAGTCACGTTGATGCATCTTGTAGCTGTACATCTAAATCAGCTTCCACTCAATGAAGTAACAGCACTGTACATGCTCCATATATCCATATTGGGTGCTAGTGGGTTTTATCTAGTTACTGTGGCAAAGACAGGTCATGCAGAGGAAAAGGATTCAACTACCGCAGCACACATCAGTTTGAAACATTGTTGTTTTAATGCAGTAAATGAGAGCAGGAGCGAGAAGATGGGATTGTATCGAGATGATCAATGGGGGGAGGGGGTTGCTTGCCTGAGAGAGTGGTCGAGGGGCCCTGTCCTTCAACTGGATACTCGTGAATATCCTCGGAAGCAGAACCTACCACGGAGAACACACCGGTAACACGATCAATACATGGCGATATGCAACAATATCGTGCATGCATATGACATGGCAAAATAAGTGTGTTGGGCTAATGCAATTAAAACCAGAGGGGTTTGAGTTATTTTGAACCAAAGGTTCAAATTCAAATTCAAATTATGAATTTCTGAAGTGCATTATCATGTTTTGATCTAAACAACAAGGTTAAGTTGATTTATCATGCATGAAACCAGTACCAATCGATAGATTGGATTTTTCTGATCATTTTTCATATATAAATCTTTTCATTTGGAGTTATAGATTAATTTCTATGATTTTTTGAAGTTTAAATCATTTTCTGGATTTTTTTTGTTATTTAGAATTAAAAAAATCCAGTGAAGGATTTATTGCGTCAGCATGACGTCAGCAAGTCAACGGGACAGCCCCGGGTCAAACTAACCTGTGGGTCCCGTATGTCAGTGACTAAACTAACTAACCTAGTTAATTAGTGCTAATCTAGATTAGTTAGCGAGGTGGGGCTCGCATGTCAGTGACCCAAGAGGGTCAAATCCTTGTTCAACTCGGTCAATTCACCGGCGTTTAGATGCCGACGACATCCATACGCAGCGGGGTGCCGCGGGATTCCCACTCCGACGACCAAATGGCCGGCGGATGGCATCTACGTGATGCGGGCACTCCCCCACATCGAGTGGTGGTGGTGGTTAGTCCTGGGGTGGCCGGAATCGTCGCCAGCGACGACCTTGGCGGCTGTCGGAGCTCGGGTGAGCTCGGGTCATCGCTACGATGGGCGTGTCAGTGCGGGGTTAGCTCCTACGTGCTCTATGCGGCGGGGTGAGAAAGACGGACATGACGGCCGGGCCGGTGCATGGCAAGGGGCATGTCGGCGGCGAGCACAGACGGCTGAGCATGCCAGTGAGCTCGGTGCGATGCCGACGGTGCATGAGGGAGAGAACGGAGAGGGGGGATGGGCAGCAGCTCACAGCAAACACGACGGTGCTGACGGCGAGGTCGGAGAGGAACCGGAGCGGTCGGGTGGCAAGGGGGATCTCCGGTGACGGTGGGTGCTCCCTGTAGTGCCCGAAGTCGGGGTGGCGGTCCCTCTTCATCAATGGCGGTAGACTCCGGGATTGTCTAGGCCATTTGGAGTCTGGATCTTGAGGTGGTGCAGCGACGGCCTTCTGAGGCTAATGGCGGTATGGGACGTCCCTGCCATCAACAAATCGGGTTCGATGTGGCTCGGCAGGTGACACATGTGCCTCTTTCGAAGTTGTTGGGAGGTGCCTGTCACCGGCAGGTGAAGCCACCGGTGGATGTGCTACCGGCGGATGCTACGCTCAGCATCTTATATGGAGATGTCAAGTGATGCTTGCTACCGGCAGGTAATTCACGGTGGCTCTGGCGGAGGTGTCATGTTTAGCCTGTTGCTGTCGGCTCAAAGGTGGTGCGACAGTAGCAGGAGGCAAGCAGTATGGGGCGTCTTTTTCTTTTGTTGTCTCCTCCAGTGGTATCCGTCTATTAAGGTGTCGGTAGACGGATAAGGGCAGATGGTATAGACGGCTTCAACAATGAGTTTATTCACTCCGGTGGAAACACAAGATCTTTGATCAGACTATGCCCGTATGCGCCTATGTCGTGTCCTTGCTGAAGGTGGTGGATTGAAGCTTGGCTTTCAGGATGAGAATCTAGAGTTCAACCATGTGGTGGACTAGCCATCAGCGGTGCACGTGCGACAATTCCTTCTTGAAGGTGTAGCCTAGGAGTTGTATATTTGTTTTTTATGTTGTCGCTTGTATCATAGGGATTACTGGCTATCAGGAGGTACTGTCGCGAGGTATACGGCCTTAGCGTTTGTTTTCCGCTTTATTTCTGGGTCAATAGTGTTCGGCTGCTGGATTTTGCACTTTTAATAATATATGGTTGCATGCAACTTCCTGATGGAGAGGCCGGGGGTTATCCTCCTTTGAAAAAAATAGATTTTGGAAAAACCATATGCAAGAGCTGAACGTATTAAGAAATTATCAAAACATGCTCTCTCCTTGCTTTATATATAAAGCAACAATAATCAGTTACAGGGCATAAAGATACAATATGGTAAGGCAGCCCTATGACACATCAAATCCATAAATAACTAGACAATATAACCGAACACGACTACGCTGCCAAACACCTAAACACAGAATGGCCAGATTACAACGCCACGACATGACTTAGGACTCCTATAGCCTCCATGACAACACCCTCAGAAGGGGAATACAAGCACCAACGCTGTCGAGCCCAAATAGGACAAGGGTTTTCACCGGTGGCTTGCCACGGGGAGGAGAACCACGACGACGTATTCAAGAAGATAACGACACCCGCAGATGTCCTCGCCACAAGTGCCAAAGCGCGGAGTTTTCGCTCGGCAGCTCACCCTGACACCTTGAGGCACCCAGACCAGCCGCGGCGAGAGCAGGCCTCTAAATCCGGATCTAGGCAGCGCTACTTCTAAGAACAGAAAGTGTGCCCGAACCATCCACCGCCACACCCTCACCATCCAGACGACCAAGAAGCGTAGCCACCACTACCGCCATGGAGCCTGCCGGAAAGCCACCATACGGACCAACATCCGGGGCTGCCGCCTTGGCTTTCATGTCCCGGTTTCTTGAAAAGTGAGCATCAGGGCATGCTTACCTCAATCGATAGCTTGCGTGCAGCACAAAGGTTGGAATGGTAGCTCTCTGGTGGATTTGTTCACGTCCTGGTTGCTAAAATTCTTACATAGGATTGATCTAAGCTTATCTGATTGTGCAAATCATAGTCTTACTACTTGTTGTGGACATATCAGTTTGGTGCTCAACGAAGATGGAAAGTAACCTTAAATGATCATGTGCTTTACACTTGTTATATTATCCCAAGAGTATCTCATATATTGTATTGAATTAATAGTATTTGATGAACAATCCAAAATGTTCAGAGCAATTTTACGTAAAACACACATGATTAGAAAACCCTCCGTATCACAATGCAAATCTGTAGTTGTGCTACGAAACAATCACTATGGACAAATAACTTGAATGAAATAAAAGTTAATATAGAGCAGTGCTCTCTGCTTAAGCACACATTCCGTTCCATATTTCTGATGGAAAAGTGTGATCTTGCTTTCGGTAAGAGTCGTTCATGAACTAGTCGACTTGTCTGTAACTCCACACTACTTTATTAGTAACATTCTTAAGATTCAGTGTATGCCCTGTTCTTGTGTGTCCCAGCACATTGTCACGATAGAAATGGAGACACGCTAACGTTAGGCAGTTGGGAGATAAGCCGAATGATCAATAAACAAGTTAGGGCTCCTTTGATTCAATGGAATTTTATAAGATTTCTGGAGGATTGAGATCCTTAGGATATTTTCCTATGATGTTCCTTTGATTTATAGGATTGAATCCCATAGGAATTTTTCCCATGGAATTGTTTGTACTACATTTCGTAGGAAATCTAACATCCACTCCAACCTCTTTTTACATTTTCTTTGTTTTTTCTGTGTCATCAAACACTAATTGCTAATCCTGTAGGATTCAAGTCGGCATGCCACTCCAATCCCATACTTTTCCTATTCCTACGTTTTCAAAATCCTACGAATCAAAGAGGCCCTTATTATGTAATTTTGGTGTTCCGTTTTGCAGATACCGTAACATACACGTGTTATTCTGTAATGGGGCCAGTGGTCAGGTGAAGAACGGAGATTCTAACATTAATATAGCACATACATCCTATACTGCCTCTGTACCGAAATACTTGTGGTTGGGGGAACTTGTATTAGTTTCCCCATCTACAAGTATTGTGGTACAGAGGAGTAGATCATATCAAACTCTATCTTGCTTATTCAGTGCACTGATGTGGTGTCTCGGAGCATGCTAAGACAAATTATGATGTTGACTGCGTTGCCACCGTCCATTGACCGGCAGTCCGTTCTCCCTCCAAGTCGAGAACCCTCCGGCGATGTCGGTCACGGCAGTGAAGCCCTGAAAGAAGAAGACGGATTCACCATCATGTGTCACAGAGCCGGCAGGTGAAACCATAGCTACCGATGGTGAGATAGATAGATAGATAGATATGGTAGTGCTAGTATTTATGCTTACAGCGGAGCAGAGTTCGGCTGCTGCCATGAGTGACCTCTTGCCACTTTGGCATCCCTGATATTGACAAATGAAGTTTTCTCAACATAAAAAACAGTCAACTGAAAGAAGAAAGAAAAGAAAACGTTTAGGATCAGGGCCTGCGTACGATGATGATCTCATCGTCCCTGCCGAAGATCGCCGACACTTGCTCGAGAAAGTGTGAGTTCTTGGCCATTCCTGAGCCGGTGCTATGCATGTAGGGGATGTTCACCGCTCCTGCCGGATGCCCACCACCGAACTCATCCTCCGTTCTACACAAGCAGCAAATCTGATCGAATGATGCAATGAACCTTTTTTATGCACACAAGTTTACTGTGAACTGAATTTTTCCTGTCAGTTAAGTTGAGATAACAGAGTAGAGGGGCAGCAGAGCATGCAAGGGGTAAGACTGTTGTGTGGTTTGTGCGTTGGTTAGTTATGGGTAAACATTCATGTACCTGACGTCGAGGTAGCGGTGTCCTGCCAGCTGCAGCTCGTAGGCGACGCGCACCGGCACCGACGGCGGGACCGCGTCCACCTCCTCCGACCGCTCCGACCGCAACGCCGCTACCCCGGCGCCGCCGTATCTGGTGACGAAGCAACAGGCGTGTAAGAGTTTGTCCGTGGATACTAGATGGATGGAAGGTACAAATTACTCCTACTCACGGTACCTGACTGAGCCGGGCATCCTTCTGGCGGCGCCCACTGAGACCGCGCTCGCCGCCGCCACGACCCGAGGATTCGCCCTCGTGCACGCGGCACCGTGCCGCAGCCTGCGGTCAAAACAGAGCGCGTAGAGCACTGTCGGCGTGATCGATGAGACGAATATAGCAAGGAAAAGGCCCGCCGGATTGTTTACTTACCTGTAGGAGGTGAAGGCGAGGGGCGGCCGGTGCGCGGGGAGGGAGACGCCTCGGGCAAAGGAGTACTCCGACGCCATTATCTCCTGTCCGGTCCTCGCTCTTGTTCGCTCTTGCGGACTCCGGAGCCCGGCCGGACGCTCAGTTCGAGCTAATATGTAGATGTGGTGCAGATTGAGCGCTGATTTAGTGGAGAAACGTGGTAACCTTGCACAAACACATGGCATGGGGAGGCATGACCACGGTTGGCAGCTGGGACGCCGCACCTGTCCTCGCCTCCTCCGCGTCGTTGAGCAGAGTAGGATCCCACGTACGCATGACTACGACGGACATTGAGACATACTCCCTCCGTTTCATAATGTAATGTTTATAGATTTTTTGAAAAATCAAACTTCACAAACTTTGATCAAGTTTGTGGAGAAAAATATTTGCGTCTAGAGTGCGAAACATATATCACTAGATTCATCATAAGATGTAGTTTCACATTATATATTTGTGCTATTATAAATATAAATATTTCTCTCTACAAACTTGGTCAAAGTTTGTAAAATTTGACTTTTCAAAAAATCTATAAGCACTATATTATGGAACGGAGGAAGTATCTATTACAGGGATTGGTTGTCTGCTACGTTGGTTTCGGATAAGGTGAAGATCTTCTCACCACGTCTCACTTCTCATCTCATCACATGTATATGGGACAACGATCACGTGCTAGCCTGTCTGGGCTCTTGCATGCACTCGAAGGTGACGCGCGTCTTGCCTCGCTGTTCCTCGGTCGCGAGTTAAGTTATTTTCTGAACAAGTACAAACGCATGCACTCATGCATACGTATATATATTTATCTTTATAAACGCACAGACGTACACCCTATCATTATGAGCACCTTCGAGAACTGAGCCGATACATCATGTTGAGATTGATGAAGTTGCTACAGACGCCTTCATCTCGTCCCATTAAATGCACATCGCCGAATGGGTTGAAATAAATCCAGAAAATGCGAGCACCAGTGTCGGTCTTGAATCATGGTGGGCTGGGGATACCACTACCCTTCTAACCATCCAATCACAAGTTTTTTTATAATTATCCTCTCCTTTATTCATTCATAAGGATTGTAGCATCGCTTACAATAAGAGGACGAGGAGGTGTTCGTCCATATATTTGGAGAAGAAAATCTAGCTATCCTAGCCAATTCATGAGCTACTTGATTTCTTTCTTTATTACAATGATCATAAATGACATGTGTAAAATCAAGCGACATAAAATAACAAGCACGCCCTGGCTTGATCGCTGTCACGCCGTCCCCGGCACCAGCGTTGATATTACATGGCAAAACTATCGCACGGGGCGAACCTTCCTGTTGCGGCTTCGAGGAGGCACGTCTCAAGGACCCAATTTTGTTCGCCACACCGGGAGCATGTTGACATTAATGTGAGTATCTTCCACGCTGAAAGAGAGTGTTGAATTACGTTGATATCCATGTGAGCCCCTTCCAATTTGTTGACGTCCCCGGAACCTGTGCGCGAGAGCATGCGGAGGCTTGGTGGCAGTGGCGGATGTACAGGGTGGCCGGCCCACCCTAGGATTTTGAATGTGCTTATATACCTATATCTATAGTTGGGCCAGAGAGGAAAAAACGACCCAATAACTTATCCAGGGACGAACGCATGACGGCCTGTCCGAGCATGAGCAGAACCCTCGTCTCGCCCGGTCGCCCCCTCGCACAGCAACTCCTCATGCGGCTCCGCCCGACCCTGACACCTGGCCTGCCAGCCGTCGCGGCATTGCCGGTCGCCGGCAGGAGCCCGCAGTTCAGCCGTCTAGGAGGCTCTCGCCTCCCCTTCCCGGCTTCCCGCCCGGCCTCCCACCCGGTCCAGCCACGCCCCTGCCCTGCGGGCGGCTGCGCTCCTACGGACTGCGGTCCCAGCGTCCCGCCTCCCCTTTCTGGCGCCCCGCTGGCCCGGCCACCCACCTTCAAAACCCACCACGGCGGCAAACCCCTGACCGATTTAAGGTACCCAAATGCCTCAATTTCAGACTCAGGGTTTGCTTTTTTTGCCCCAATTTCATGTACATGAACTGATGAACACATACATAATTTTGCACAAGTATTTTCGTTAAATCAGTGTATATTCAGAAATGATGTGAAATTATAGCTTTTTTCGAGCAAAAGAGAGGCTTTCTCTCTCCGATTTCACATTAAAAAAACCAGTTCTAGTAAGTGAAATCATAGCTTGCTTGAATGAAGCCACAAAGGCTTGAATTTTGCCTCAATTATTTCATTATAGTTGTCTTGAATGAAGCCAACTATCATTTCTTCCTCAGTTACTTTCATTTTTGCACATAATGCCTCAATTTACTTGTGTATTGTGTCTTGATAGAAAGCCAATTATTTCATTACAGAAGCACGGAATATGTCGAATGTGGTCGAAGAGCAAATCGGAGAACTTTTGTATATGCCTGTTGTGATTGAAGAGCAAACTCATGAACCAACAGTGTCTATGCCGAATGTTACCATAGAGCAACCGAAGAGCATTTTCTGCCATGAGTTAGTCAAGATCAAGTTGAGAAAATAAGATGGGTGATAGTCCTTTGGGTGATTGCCTAATCACATGCATTGAGAGGCATGATTTTCTCCGAGGTGAACGAAGATGATATAATTGATACCTTCATGGCAATGCAAAAGCGCAGGCAAACATAGTCTTTTTGAACTTCTCAAGGTATGTAGTATTTACTATTGTAGGCTTCTTTATGCAAAAGTAAGATTTAATTGAGAATTTTAGTGTGTTCATCAGAACATATTGATATATTTCTTTATGATATTGATAATTAGTTAGAACGTTCACATATCATATTACTTATCAAAAAAATTGGGGCGGACCACCCTGGTGTCAAATGCTAGCTCCGCCACTGCTTGGTGGTTCATCCTCATGATGGGAAACCTAATCATATATTCCAGATGTTGCTAGTACCGCTTCTATTCCAAAATTCTTGTCTTAGATTTGTCCAAATACAGATGTATCAAGTCATGTTTTAGTATTAGATACATCCGTATCTGGGCAACTCTAAGACAAGAATTATAATTCTTCACGTACTTGTGCTTTTAATGTTGAATATTTTACAATCAGGCAACACAATCCTATCAACGTGATAAGGTAAATGTCGCTAGTGATTTCTTTATGTATGTTTCTAAGGTTTCATTTATCATTACAAGCACGATTTATGTTAATTTTCTACTTTTTGTTCTACATGGTTTATCAAAACATTTATAATAACAAGCACGTGTTTTATAAATAAACATTGCACGGAACCAACAAGAAACGAATCTACTAGTAAATTTCCATCAACCAAGATTACATTGAGTAAAGAAAAATCACGTCATGGGTCTTAAATTTATTTCTTTAGAGTTTTCTGTATGCAAAAAGTTTCACGGTTATTTCAATGAGAATTTATTGCTCTTCCATATATAGAAATAGATAGACTATAAGTAAATGATAGTGTCTCTGATGTCAATGAGCCCAAAGGGATGGAGGGGCATATACTAGCCGCAAGCGCTCCTGGATCTCAGCCACCCTCTTTAACTCGCCCGGCGATGGCTCGAAGCCCTCCAGGATGAACCCGGAGCAAATGACATTGAACTCCTCCTCGGTGAGGTCGGTGAACCCGTTGATGCCCTGGTGGTTAGTGTCGACCCCTAAGGCGTAGCCGGCGTTGTTCCAATCGACTTGACGGAGGGCGTCCTTGAATATGGCGTACCTGTGCTCCTCGTGGTCGATGGAGCGGTAGATCTTTTCGTTCATGGCCTTCCACTCCACGAAGATCTGCTGGGTCTCCTCCTCGCTCCTCTCCCTGTCCCATGACCAGGCGGAGTAGCCGTCCTCGTGCCACCCCTGGTCGATGTCGCGGAGGCGGTGCTTGAACATGCTGTACGCGCGCTCCTCCTCGGCGACGGAGCTGTAGGTCTTGCCGAGCTCGGCCTTCCACTCCAGGAAGATCCGCCGCGTCTGCTCCTCGCTCCTCTCCTTGTGCACACGGTCGGATGTGTTGCTCGTGGCCGCCGCCGCCGCCGCCAGCAGCGACACCAGCAGCAGCAACGCGATGGTCCTCATCACGACGGGAAATTTAGGTCGGGGAGTATACGCAGGTAGATGAGATGTGTGGAAGGGCAATGGTCTCGGTTGGTCGAACTCTGGTCCAAACGCTCGCGGTGATAAATCTAAGTTTGGATTGTGCTGTATATTTAAAGGCTCGCGAAGGGACGTACGTAGCTACTACAAGAGACGAGACCTACACGAATCGCATTAAGATCGACTCGTGTCCGGATCACCCACGATGGATGGATGGATTTGTTGGAGTCGATCGATCTCGGCCAATACAACCAGCCGGTGATGTGATGTGGGGGAACACCGATCGCCCAGCCGGTGATGTGATGTGATGTACACCTAAGACTAAGAGGACCAGCTGCCGCGCGTACGTTGCTGATGGCGTCGTACCGTACGGTGAAAGGATCTTCTAGGTCGTGTGCGTGTCAAAAAAAAAAGATAGAATCGAGGTGCAGCAGCCGGAGCACGTGAAAACCTTTTTTTTTTACCACAGTGAAACATTTTTGCGTCTCGTGCATGCGTGCTATTGCAATTGCACGGTTTTTTTAGGGGAATTGCAATTGCACGTTACCATACTACTACTACGAGAGTCCGTAATCACTTTTTCTTACCCCTAAAAAAACGCCC